TTAGGAAGAAGAGCCAGAGCTCTTAGCCACCGAACCATCTCTCCAGCCCTAGTGATATAACTTTTCATTTGTAATTTTTATAATGACTCTACCCAGTTGTACTATTTGTGAATACCCCTCCCATGGCAGTGGGAACTCACTGGAAAGTTGCAATGTTTGTTGATAAAAACTTGGCCAGATAAAAGAAACACTTTTCAAAACCTAGATTCTTGGGGTGAGAGATGCGGCTAAGCAGTTAATTGTAATTTGTCATGGTCGGTGTCTTTTTAACGTGCATGGGTGATTTGTGCCTACATACATATTTGTACGCCATTTGCATGCAGTGTCCATGAAGGCTAGAAGAGAGAGCCAGGTATTCTGGAACTGGTGTTACAGACACTTGTGACCTTCTCTGTGGCTGCTGGGAATTGAAACCTGGTCCTCTAGAAGAACAAATATTTTTCATGACTAAAACTGTCTCTGCAGCCCACGTGTCCCTCTTGTAGTAGACCCACATATGTTTTCTGATCCTGAACAACGCAGTTTACAACTACCTGTAACTCCCGACCAAAGGAACTGATGCCCTCTTCTTGCTTTTATGCCACCTGCATGTCATACACATGCAAACACTATGCCCACATATGAAATTTTTCAAAAAAAAAATAATAGTTTTTTAAAAGTGAGGGAAGGGGCAGGGAGGAGATGAGGGAAGAAGGGTGGGACTGGGAGGGAATGAGGGAGCGGGCTACAGCTGGGATACAAAGTTAATAAACTGTAACTAATATTAAAAATTTTTTAAAAAGTTAGATTCTTAAGCTCCAACTGCTTAACAACTATTTCTTCAGTTATAGCTTTCCTTTGTCCGGTAGTAACATTACATATATTAGGCAAGCTGAGACTCTTGGGGGAGGTTTAGCTAGAATAAAAACCAAAACAAGGGAGCAAATTTCCATTCAGTGGGGCACCAAGTAACGTAGTGAAAGTATAGTCACATTTGCTTAGTCATCACTATGGAGAAATAGTCCAACTGATACCTTAACATCCGGAGCGCATAGGAGGAACATTCCATATCCCTTCTTTGTTGGTTGACCCCCAGGACACAGATTTTTTTTTTCCCCTCAAGTCGACCTAGCTCTGACATATTGCATATCATCTGAATGCTTGAGTTGAAGTCATCTTCCCACAGCCTAAGTGAGTGTTAAGCCTGCTCCTACGGATCTGATGCAAATGAGATGATTTTCCTTCCAGCAGGCACAACTGATGCCTTCCAAGAACAGATGAAAACAGCATGCTCACCTTTCTACCTTCATGTCCCAATCTTCTTTTTTAGTTCACGTTTTTAACTTTATGAACTTGTTCATCCCCATTACCATGATAATTGCCCATTTCTCTCTTCTGTTAAGGTATTTGATTTGGCTCACCTGTGGGCAGCTCTCAGTTAAAAAGGGGAGAACATATCCAAGCTGAAGTCATGAAACCCTACTTATCAATTGCCCCAGTGTGCACTGGATGAACAGCAATTGAAAGTGTGGACCGCCCCTCTGCTAATCACATAGCCAAATGGAGTTTGTTCTCGTTTGCTTAATCATTCAGCTGTAATTGAATCCTGATGGGAAGCTGGCATTCCACCCAAATGTTTTCCATTCTCCTGCAGAAAAGGTGGTCAAGTAGCCATATCGTCTCCCCAGAAGCCCCAGAACACTTTACAGACCATCTCATTTCTCGATTCTGCATAAAGCCTGCTAGACATGGGGGAATTACAGCACTGAGATAGTATTGGCCACTGCCCACAGACACCTTCCCCATTGTTCTCTCTCTCTGCAACTGTTGTGCAATTGATAACAAAGCATCCTTTTCCCTTTTCCGAGGACACCCTCCTCAGCCCAGCTTTCTTTGCCTGGGAAATCAATATCTAACACTATCACCACCTCCCAGAGCTAGCTATAACTCACACGGTGGTACACAAACTAGTGTTTCTCAGCATCTACTTCCACATTGCCTTCAGCAGGTTCTCCCAGAGTAGTTAACAGGCCAACAGCAGCAGCATCTCCTGGAAACTGAATGCTGTGAAACTGGACATAACGTTTCAACATAATACATTTGGAGAGACACGTGCATTTAATCCATAACATCTGCATTCAAAGGATGAAGAGTGTATAACTACCACCTCCTCAAAAGAAGAATATTAAAGATGTTGGAGGAATATGTTACAGTTACAAAGGGAGTTAATTTGCATTTTGGGGTAGATGTTTCCTGAACAGACTCCAGTACATATCAATGTGAGCGAAAGGCAACAGTTGCAGTGTTTTGTTGGTGGTGTTCTTTTTGTTAAGCAAAGAGAATATCATCAGCATATTGTGCTTTCTATTTGTAGTTGTTCTGCAAGGAAGTTTCGTTCATTTTTGTGTATTCATTTACGCATTCTTGCACTTGTACATTCATACGCAGTTGTGGGCATTTGGTTCACTGAATAGTTCAAGACATCATTATTTATTTTGTTCTTCCCAGTGACTTCATTTCACTCATGGGAAGTTCATCTATGTTGATTCCCATATTCATTTGACATTCACCTAGCATTTTTTCAGTCATCATTAATTTTATATGAACTTCTTGTTTCTTCACACTGATTGGTGACCCAGACTAAATCATATGTGTTACTGTCTATATTCATACAGTTACACTCTTTCCAAGGGAGGCATTGTTTACTCTGTTGAAATGTTTTTTTCCCATACTGAAAACTGGATGCTAGCTAAGTACGTGTGTCGTGAGATATGATTGTATTTAAAATCTTCTATAGAGCTCTAGCATGTGTGTGCATATTCACTGGCATGAATACAGTTCTCTCTCCTTCCTCTCCCTCCAAAATGTAAATTTATTTGAAGGCCCAAAACTATAATGTGACATAGCAGGGTTTGTGCCACCTTACCCCTTTGCTTCTCTGTGGTGGTTCTAGCAGCTAGGACCCTGACTTGTGTCATTTAGTTAATCTTACTTTGTTGAACCCAAGTATAGAAAACAGCTTCAGAGTGTGAAACCACATCCCCACAAAGAGGAAATTTACAAATCAAAATTCTATTTTAAATGCAGCTGTTAGCCACAGCATTTCTAATTAAAACACTGCTATTCAGAGTTGACACAGGTCATTCCCTTTCCACATGTCCTTAGGTTCTTTACAGATTCATAATAGAGTGAGTCTCATTGTTAGAGTTGGCAAGGATCCTTCTACATACATAGTGGATAAAAGGCTTTATGCACTAAAGGTGAATAACCATGTTATATTATTCTGAGGAGCACATGCCTCTTTCACCCTATACCAACTGAGCCATATTTGATACCACAGAAACTATGCTTGTCATCATGCAGTTCTTTTGTGTGGTGCTATTTCCGTGAGCCTCTCCTATTCTGACAATCTCTGTTTCCCACTCCTCTCTTCTTCATCTCTAGTTTTACATTTTACCTATCCTTCTATTCATGGAAGGACTCTCAGTAGAATGTGTTGAGTTCATTGTCTTATATATACTGTAACTGATCTCAGTTTCATTCTTCTTGCATAAAGTAAAGCTGCCTCTGTTTATGTATGACGTGTCTGTTTTTCACCTAACTACCATTTTAGCTCTTACCCACTAATTTCAGTGTACTATAGTTTTTTTTTTTTAAGTCTTTTCGGAGTACTTAACTCTTTTTGATACTTTCCATTTGACCATGGGTAAATCTACAAGTCTGTTTGTCGAGATCTGAGGATACAGTTTGCATGATTTCTGTGAGCTTTCATTTTTTTTTTTCCTTTAAAGCCCAGGTATGGTTTGTCTTAATGAACCTTTCAGTTGCACTTGAAAGGAACGTCTACTCTTGTTAGACATGTGGTTCTAGAAATGTCAGCTAGGTTGATTAACCTGATTTTAGTGCTGTAGGAAAAATATCACAGGTGTTTTCTTGAGGACTGGCATTGGAAAGCTGCTTAGCATTACACTAATAACAACCGAGATTGAAGTTCAGTTGGGTCTTAATTTGGAATCAGAGTTTATGCTTTTCTGTGTTTGTGGAAGCCTATTCATACTTCCCCACATATCCAGTTTCTAGAGTCCATTTTAGATGTCTGTCCAGTGCATGACAGGAAGAGCCAAGCATTTTTCTTGTTCCAAGTTTTCTAACGCTCCAGATGGTCTTCATAAGTTTTCCTACAACTATTCTCTCTAACTTTATCTTCACTTGCCTGTCTGAAAGTGTATCTTTTAAAGTACTAGATTCAGGAGTAATGACTAAGCAAGAGTTGGAATAAGATGAAGTCCATCTTATTGTTCAGTCAGCTGCAGTCCCACTCCCCACCCGACCCAGACCGCGTCTCCCTTAACATTCATAAAAATAAATTGGGAACTCTGAGAAGCATGGAGTGAAAAAAATCTATTTCATCCCCTCATTACACAAAGCAGGGAACACTAGCTACTATAAAATATTTTCTAGTTTCTAAGAAGATAATATGAAATGTGTGAAACAAAATTTTAATGGCTAGGCCAATTGTCTGTGATCCACAAAGTTTTGTTTGTAGTAGTTGGTGCTCTTGTTTGTTTGTTTCCTCTCACTTTATTTCTTTAAAGCTGGTTTTCAAAAGTTGAGAGTCATGTATTGGCATAAAAAACTAGGAACTGAAAGTTCAGAAAACTCTCAGGCATAAATATGAAAACTGGCTGCTTTAGGGTCTATTACTTTAACTTAATCTAAAACTTGCATTGTAAAGACCTGCGTCCGCATACTTTACCACTCTTCGTCTGCTTCTTCAAAGTTAGTAACACTTACTGGGAAGTGTCAGTATTCAAATGCACGAGGTTGTGGTTTACTGTGTGATTTGCACAAGTATCTCAAGAATGAGCATGATGTCTTATGCCTTCCTGAAAAACAGGTATCCCCAAGGAAATGCTGCCTACTCAGTATATCCACACACACCCACACCCACATTATCTTCCCTGTCTCTTGGATACCTCTTTGGGAATTTTATTGACACTCTGCTTTCTTTTCTTGAACAGGTGGGCTCTGCATTGCCCAGTCCGTGAGAATCCCCCAAGAGCGCAAAGACAGGACCATTGACTTTGATAGAATTATCAAACAGCTCTTGGACACCCCCAACTCCAGGGCCGTCGTGATTTTTGCCAACGATGAGGATATAAAGTAAGGATGACTGTACTGTGAACCTCGTTCCTATGCATGTCACAGCTTTAGAAGGCAGAAGGATGAGGATGCTGGCGAGGAGAGGAGAAATAAAGTCAGATCAGAGCTCTAATTACAAGGTGGTACATTCTTTCATGCTTGCTGTCCCCACACAAGTTGGCATCCACAAAAGCAGTTAGCACCTGGATGTCTTGTAGTTTCATTTTGATTAAAAATAAAATGTATTAAATTATTGGAAGAAAGAAAAGAGTATTAGACCTTTAAAAGGCTGTATTATTATAAACAAGTTCAAGTATTGCAGGGTTTTATCCCAAGAATGATGTTTGTTAGTGTAAAAGACATAGGGTTTGTGATTCTGCCTTCCTCACTGCTCAGAATTTAAACACAGGACACTAACTGTTGGCCCGCCACATTCTGTACCCACCTACTATTTATTCCTTTTACATTGATTTTCTTGTGCTCCAAACTTGTCTTTTTAACTTCCCTTTTGGCCTAGTTCTTTGCATTTGCAGTAGCATTTAGAGCCACCCTCTAGATCTCTTCTAGGGTGCAAATGGCCCCTGCTTACTTTTATGAACACAATAAACCACTCTGGAGTCTTTTATTTTTTAAATTAATTGTTATTTTACCTGCCTGAAAAAGGCTAAATTCTTTTCTAGCAGTGTCCAAACCTACAAATAAAATGTCTCACACCTCGTGTCCTCGCTAACAAGGTTTCCATTATGGACGGTAGAGCTCCTAGCTTGTCATTTTCTGGTGTGTCACTCTGGAGACATTCTGTATCATGTTCCTGATCCGTTTTTAAGTACCCTGTAGGTGTACTGCATGTGTCTGCTCTTGACCTCGCTTGGCATAGCATTTCACAGCAGAGGACACACACTATGGATCTGTGCAATTTTGTAATCTGTATGCATAATTTCATTTTACCTATGTACTACAGTTTATCTAGCTTCTTCCTTGTAGATTGACAATTAAAATTTTTATCACAGAATTTCACAGTTATAAATACAGTATTATAGCAAACTTCCTGTAGAAAACTATCTGTGCTGAACTATAAATATGGAAATATGTACTAATAATACATAAGATACTATGTGGTAAGTAAACATATCAGACTAATAAATTATATCCACAGTACATACAGATCTTTACATGTCCTCTTTTACAATCTAATCATAGACTCAGTATTTTGGATGCTGTAAGTGTGTTTAGATTGTAAAATTTTGTACCTTAAACTCTAGGAAGTACTAAGATAAAGATCTGTTTTTTCTTGAAAAAGGCCATCATTATAATCATCTGAAGATAGGCTGATTAATACTTCCCTGGTGTGGAGGAGTTGCATTTTAAATCTTCACCTTGTATCTTAAAATTCGGTGATTGAAAATTCAAATTGAATTTGAAGGTGAATTGTTTTTCTTGGGTAAAATTGAAGGGTTCAGACCATAACTTCTTCGGGATTTTCTAAGGTCATCTCTAGCAGCCTTTCTTCTGTCTCCCTGCATTGTGTGTCCTACCAAGAGCCAAGAATCTCCCCAACAACCCACTATGAAGAGCTCAATCATAAGTGAGGCGTCAAGATCATTACATGGGAAAGTATTGAATTTGAATTTGAGAATATTCACTGCATAGATCAACACACTCTCTCTCTCCTTGAAGTGGTTTCTTCCCTGGGCTCCTATTTTCTTGGCATCTCAGTTCTTCCATCAGTAAAATGAAAGTCTTTTTAATCTGTCCTATGAGAAGGAGTCCTAATCCAATTTCCTTCTAAGCAATTCAAGTTGTAGGCACTGCTGGAGGGGAGGTTGTTTCTGTTCTCTCCTTAAGATGATTTCTCTGACCAGACTATTTCTGGAAAATTCTTTTTGTCATATTTTATATTTTTAGCTCATACCTGTGGAGTCAAGTTTTGTTGTTGGTTGTTGTTGCTGTTGAATGGTTCAGATAAATCTGTAATGTCCATTATTTCTATCCGTCGTTAGGCCAGATGACTTTTGAGTGGTATTTTTATCCTTACTATGTGTTTTGATACTATGAAAATAGCTCATGCTCAACCAACGCCATTGAATAAATGAATGGAATGTTGAATTTACTGCTCAGTGTTTAATGATATAAGTGAAGGCTCCCCCGTCCCCAGCCTTTATGGGCGATATTTGTTCACATATGCTATATATTTAGTTGTCCATTTAAATGCTTGATTACAATGTACCAGCATGTTCTGGGTGCTTCTTCCCATGGCGTTGTTTTAATGAACCCTGTATTTGTCTGTATCTCACGTTTTCTTTTACATATGGGCCCTCTCTGGAAAAATGATCACTGGGTGATGCTGTTAGTACCATTGTCAGGTTATCTTAGGTCCTTTGTACTTTAGCTCCTTGTGAGGTTTTGGTTTCCTATACTGTTTTTGGGGGGAGGCTCTAGTTTCCCCTCTCATACTATTAATATTTTGTCAACCATTTTATTTATCTCTCTCTTGCTTACCTTTCACATTTAATAATATGTGATACGTTGGCAACGTATGTCTATGTTGAGTTTTTAAAAATCAGTTCCTTATGATTAAGATTATACTTTTGACCTGTGTGGCTTATATTTTAGGTAGAGATTGTACAAATCCACTCATGAAGTGTGCATATTGTTTTTACAATGGAGTTCAAGTTTACATTGAATGTCATTGTTTATTGAGATCTATGTGTTGGCATCTTGGTTTCTGAGCACATTGATAGTCAAGTGCATGTTTCTTCAAGAAGGTGTTCTTTTTTTTAACATTTTTTAAAGTTACTTATTCACTTTGCATCTCAATTGTAACCCCCTCACTCCTCTCCTCCCATCCCTCCCTCATTTCCTTTGTCCCCCCTTGCCCCTCAGGAAAGGAGAGAACCCCCCAATCCCAACCCACAAACCTGTCCCAGCAATCCAATCTCATCAGTATTGTGTACTTCCTCTTTCACAGTGTCCTGGCAAAGCAGCCATGACAGAGTGAAGTGATTGAAAGGCATACAACAGAGATCAGGTGAGAGAAAGACCCCATCCGCTTGCTGGGGGCCCACATGGAGACCAAGCTGCTCATTGTGTACATATGCGTAGAGGGTCTACATCTAGTCCATGTCTGGTTCTTGGTTGGTGCTTCAGTCTCTAGAATCCCCTCTGGGACCAGGTTAGTAGGGACTACTCTTCTTGTGGAGCTCCTGTCCTCTCTGGATCATTCTACCCCCCTCAACCCACTCCTCTTCAAGGCTCCCTATGTTCTGTCTAATGTTTGCTGTGAGTCTAAGTTTCTGTCTTGACCCATTGCTAAGCAAAGCCTCTAGGGACACTCATGCAAGGCTCCCATCTGCAGACACAGTAGAGAGACATCAATAGTGTCAGGGGTTGGCTCTCTCCCATGGAGTGGGTCTCAGATTTGGCCAGGCATTGGTTGTAAATTCCCTTGATATCTGCTCTATTTTGAAGGAAGGGTAAATTCTGGATGAAAGTTTTTGTAGATGGGTTGGTGTTCTCCTTTCTCCACCAGAAGTCCTGTCTGGTTAGAGAGTGGCTTCTTCAGTCTCCATGACCCCTGCCACCAGGGTTTTCATGGGGCTAGCTAGAGTCACCCCCGTATCCTTCCAGGAACCCATCCTGTTGCAAGTCTTTGGCTTGTCTAAGATTCCCCGCCCACAGTTGCTCTTCTCTCTGCAAGCCCTCTCTAGGAAGGCAGAATCATCTAAAGATTACAGAATCGCCACAATGTTGATTCTTTTTTCAAAAACTGAACACTGGAGATGGAAAATTTTGACATTTCTTGCAACATTAACTTCAAATACTTTGAGAATAGCTATAAGATGGCATTAATATCTCAATTTTGAAGGGAAGCTAAATGCTAAATCAGTCATGGCTATAGATAATTTGAATCTTAAGGTAGAATAAAATCTGTCTTCAAATTTTACTCTGCACATAAAAGTAACATGTTCCCATTGCAAATCCCTGAGAAAAAGAAGAAACAGTTGCTTTTTTAATAAAAAAAAGATTCTGTATTATCCTCCAAATCTGTGAAAAAATTAAAAAAAAAGTAAATGATTACAAGTAATAATTAAAATAATCTTTTATAAAGCCTATACCCTCTGTGTTCAGACACACTTTAATATTTGCAAGGAAATTATAAATGAACTCAAGTTTTCTTCTGTAGGATGGAGAGTACTCAGGCTTTACCTGTACCTTTTGTGACTCACATTAAAGTTTAGTCACTGTCTGCTTTGATTAAGTGCTCATTTGTTTACATGTTCTCATGCTGTTTTCTTCTCTTCTTTCTAACCGTTCCACGTCTGTCAGATGTTATCGCTTCTCCACACTCCTTAGCAGCAAATTATCATCTGCTCCTTCGTGTAATACAATAAAAATTCATATTTTCACACACACACATACAAATGCATGCATACACGTGTGTCTATTGGCCAGTTTTCATCATATATAAGTTGAAAAATTATTCATAGTTTTAAAAACCATTATTTTTCTGCTTTACAGGAATAAAAGCCTTTGATACACAAACTAAGTGTATTATATTGACATTATTTTATTTTAGGAAAAAATATATCTATATATTTATTTATTTTTAACATTATTTATTATGTATGTATGCACAGGCACACATTCGTGAATGAGCATGAGGTCAAAAGGCAACCTGCGGGGAGTCAGTTGTTTCCTTCTGTCTTGTGGACATCAAGAACGGAACTCAACAATCATCGGGTTTAGTGCCAAGTACCTTTAAAGGCCCACTGAGCTATCTCATCAGCCCTTTAATTACAAACCATAACTACAACACTCTAGAGCATCTTCTTCTTATCCTGCTCTCCATAATCTCTGGCTCTGTTCTCTTGGGCAGTTATTTCAGCTCTAAAAGCTTTTTGCTCTTATCTGCATAATGGGCAGACAGGCAATTTAGGAAGTATTGATTTCCTGTATTGTCTGCTCATTCCTATCTAAGATGATTGAAATTGTATAAATCTCTTCTAAGGTCCTCACATCCTTGTGCCACATTTTTATTGTACGGAAATGAGTGTTTACTTTATTATGCGTATGTAAATGCCTACCTCTTCAGAATTGAGTGCTTATTTTTCTTTTGATGCTGTGATGTAATTTGTTTGTTTTACCTAAAGTTAGTATGATAGTATCTTATTTGGTTTTTATTATTTATTTAGTTACTTTCAGTATTTTCCCATGATTATTTACATTAAAGACACATCCCTTTTCCTCCAAGTTCATAAGTCACTAATCTCAGACTCAAAATTTCTTTGGATACAACTTTCGGAGAGCTCCATCATTCACACAGAATCTGGGACCAGTTGCTATGGCTGTTAACATTTCTCCTTCTTGTATCCTCTCTTCCTCCCTGACCACTGTTTCTTGTTCCCAAAAAATTTTCGTTTTGCATGTATATATATATATATATATATATGTATATATGTACATATAATATACACTATATACTGTGTTCAACACATATGCATATATATTGCTGGAACACATTCTTGAATAACTTCCTTTAAAAGAGCAGGCTCAAGAAAAACATATTTTAGGGCTGAAGAGATGGCTCATTGTTTAAGAATGCTGATTGCTCTTGCAGTAAACCCAGCACACACTCATGCAGCTCACAACTGCCCATAACTCCAGCTCTAGGAGACCTGACACTCTCTTCTGGTCTCTGAGGGCATCTGCACGTATGTGATGCATCAAAACTTATGCAGGCATACTCATCAATATAGACAAATAAATCCTTTTCTAGAAAAGAAAATTTTATGTGTTTGATGCCTAAAACTGTTCTCATTCTGACCATATAATTAATAGTTAGCACATTGACATTATGTCTCATACTTATTACAATAGTGTTTGCCCCAGAAATGATTTAGCAAACAGTGTTGATTCCTTATGAGTTGGAGAATTCTTTATTTGTATAGCATCTGATAGTCTAACTCTCCAGTGGAAAGGAAATCACAAGTGCACTGAGCATGTGTAAAAATTCTCTGATTAACAGTGAATAATCTGATTTTTTTTTTCTGAGTTTCTCTCTGCTTTGTAGGATATGCTCATTACTTCCAAAGTAATTACTTTCGTAACATGTTTTGTTTACGTATTTTATGGCAGTTTAGCTTTCTTAATTCAGAAAGCTTCTCAATTTCTCAGTTAATGGGTAATAATTAATAAACTATAGAAATGCTCTCGGAAATGTCTTATTAGCAATAGTTAAAAGATAGCATTTAAAAGAATTTATTTTTCTGCATATTTGTTAGGAAATGTGAACTGTATGTAGTCTTATTTATTTTAACAGCATTTTAGAATTTGATCTTGTTTTTTAACTTTCCTTTCACAAAAGGAAGCACAATTTTTCATTTTTAATATACACATTCTTTTTCATGTTCTCACTTCTTTCCATATCTTGCTACTGGTTATCCTTTTATATCTTAACTAAATTAATTTGTTATTTTTCACTTTCTCCTGCATCATCTCTTCCCCAATCCCAGGCTGGTGTCCTTTTCCACTGGGGACTTCTGTATCTGTGGACTTGGTTTAGGCACTAGTCAGCTGTAGACATGGACTTATTAACTGACAGAAGTCTCTGTAGGTAGAGAACTGGCTATTGCATTAAATGATTTCTTCTTGTCAAATTTGTAAATTGTTTGTCTGAGGTAGATAAAACAACAACAACAACAAAAACCTTCCAGAATATTGTTTTCCTCCCTGTATGACTTTTCTTAAAAAGCAAATGTTTAGTTACTTTAAGTAGTCGCACCATTCAGTACTGAATTCAGTGGTACTTGACATTCCTTCCCACTTCCTTCCTCCTGCTCTATCCAACCATTTCTCCTCTACCTGTTGATGCTTAGTAGTGGAAACTATTAGACAACAAATTCCTGTAAGTTTATTAAAAACTACCAATCTACTTTTTCTAGGAGAATGAACATTTGATCTGGGTTTTCACTCTCATATTTTGTCTTTAAGACACCCTTATATTTCTTTAGTTCTGAACATGTATCATAGCTGAAAATTTAAAGTGCTGAGTGATGGGAATTGTGTGTGTGTGCATGTGTGTGAGAGAGAGAGAGAAAGAGTGTGTGTATGTTTGGGGGTTTCTGTACGTGGTGAAGTTGTGGATATATGTACAGTACGTTTGCACATGCTCATATGTGCACGTCTCCTTTTTCTCCTCTTTTCCGAATTCCATTATCACTTTCTCACTGACACTTTTTTCCTTTTCATATTTTCTCTTTTGTTGCCTTTGATATTTGTAGACTTTGTTCTTCTATAAACACAGAAAATGAACTTCTATGTTGAAAGTAGGATCCTGTTTATTTTAATAAATGACTTCTGCAGTATGATTTATATTGACATAGTACTTTCTACAAATGATACTTACCATTGTCTTATCTCACCACCTGAAACCCAAAGTTGCAAAATGAAGTAAAACAGGGTGCTATTTGGCTAATTCAAACAAAACAAACCAAACAAACAAACAAAAAAATGTTTAGGATCTTTTTCTAAATGGTGCTTTCACAATTTCTAATACATGTGAATACACATCTCCAGCTTATTTCATGTTTATCTCTCCTTGTACCTTTTGACTTCTAACATCTTTCACTTATTTTACAAAAAGGGCTTTGAAACCTTTGTTATTGGTTTACCAACCTCTTTACATATGCAAGATAAAAATCCCCATGCTATCTTTTGGGATTGCTTGCTTTTGTTTTGAGGTAGCAGAGCTTCTCTTGGCTTTACTCGATTTTGCACATGTCTGTGTTCAGCTTTTATACCTCTGTGCTCTTTTGTGTTTCTTTCCTTAGGCAGATCCTTGCAGCAGCCAAAAGAGCTGACCAAGTAGGCCATTTTCTCTGGGTCGGGTCAGACAGCTGGGGATCCAAAATCAACCCACTGCATCAGCATGAAGATATTGCAGAAGGAGCCATCACCATCCAGCCTAAGAGGGCAACCGTGGAAGGTATGTGCTTTGTCGGCATTGGAGTGTAAAGAGGGGGCTACATTCCGTTGGGTGACCAAAACGAAAATCTTTGGGGATTTTCATGTTTGTGCAGGATTTATAGATTGTGTTTTACAGAGCAGGCGGGGCTGTGGGGCGCAAATGGAGCTGCACACCTGGTCTGTTCCTTGTGTTGACAATCTTCTTTTGTAGAGATTAGTTATCTCATGGTAATGTTGCAATTAGCATAGATTCTTTTCTCACTCTGAAGAGCTTTCTGAGGAGAGATCATCACCATTACTAAGAACCGAAACAATAACACATCCAAGTGTGTGTGCCGCAACACTGCATTTTTAGAGAGAACATTTTCTCTTTTAATTTACCCTTTGCTTCTTAGCTTGGCAACTGTGGGGATCACATTTTGTTACCTCTCCTGATCCCTTCCAGGAGCTGTGATTATCGAGCCCTGACCCTCCGCTGATGCCAGCATCACTTGAGCCCTTTCTTGTTCACTAGTCCCTTGCTTTCCTATATTTCTGCAACCTACCATCCCCCTGCTGCCGTTTTTTTCCTTTCTTTTACTATTAAAAAGACTTTGGGGGCAATTAATAGGAAATGATGATATTTCTTAGTGTTCTCATAATTTAAATATATTAATTACAATTAATTTTTCTTTAATATATAAAGAAAGTTATGTCCAGGTGGAAATATTACGTTAAAGAAAATGAACTCCTGTGCTGATAAACTGCTGTCTGTTTCCTTTTTGGCAAACCATTCCTCCAAAGGTTTCTACAAGTATGCTTTGCAGGACATGCTGAACCCAGTCCTCTTACTCAAAGGGATCAAATATTTGCACTTCTTTCTATTTTCTCTCTGATCCAACCTAATTAATTATTCTCCCCAGAAGGTTACAGAGTCTGTGTAGATTTTTTTTTTTTTTGAAACAAATCAGGTTGTGCCTTTATCCGTCACCAGTGTTTTTCTGTGTTATCTTGAGGAGATAACAATCCCATGAGTCTCTTCTGTGTTTTTCTTGGGAGGCTTCAAATTAATGTATTCCCTTAATACATGCCCAAAGCCGATCACCTATCTTAACAAAGAGGGCACTGCATTCACAGATGTGCTGCAGTGATAACAGATAAGATATTAACTCTCTCTACTCCTTTTCACTAAAACGTGTGCATTTGTTCTGTGCTTACAAATAGAAGATGGGGATCCCATGTCCTGACTCTCAGCATGCACAGATTGAGTGAAGCAGTCAGAAAGAAGCTAATGAGAGCAGGACACAGAAAACGGTCTGTGCTATGGGCAGCAAGTAAAACAGGCTCAGTGGATGAGTGTAGTTAAGATGTGTGACTGAGAGAAATCTCATTCCTTCCCAATCCCACTCTCCCTTCCTCATCTCCTTCTATGCCCTTCTCCAAGTCCACTGATAGGAGTGGTCCTCCTCCCCTTGTATCTGACCCTAGCCTTTCAGGTCTCTTCAGGACTGGCTGTATTGCCTTCCTTTGTGGCCTGGCAAGGCTGCCCCCCCCCCCCCAGGGAGGGAGGGTGATCAAAGAGCCAGCCACTGAGTTCATGTCAGAGACAGTCCCTGTTCCCATTACTAGAGAACCCACTTGGAGATGGAGCTGCCACAGGATAGCTGCCATGGGCTATAGGAGGAATTCTTACAGTAGGTTATGCAGCGCGTGATGCCTGAGATCTAACTGTGTGGACAGTGATAAGAGATGGGGACTGAAGAACAAAGGGGCAGACACAATGAGGAAGTTGCCCAATGACTCTTGAAGCAATTCTACACCCTGATCTTACTGAACTCATCACATTCTGCTCAACATTTTTCTGTTTACAAGGCACTGGGAAGACTCTCTTCTCCCATGGCATCTCACCATGACTCCTCTTAACCCTTAGGTGTTTCCTTGAATATTAATTTGGTATAGCAGCTCTCTGTGTTCATTGCTTTTCCTTTACTGGTGGAGTTTGGGGTGGGGGACAGCAGTCTTACCAGGCCACAGAGGTAACAGGCTACAGGTCTCCTGATGAGACCTGGTTGGCTAGGGTCAGATGGACAGGGAGGAAGGCCTCCCCTTATCAGTGGACTGGAAAGGGCATGGGAGAAGACTGAGAGGGGGCTTCAGCTGGGATACAAAGAAATGCCTGTGGTAATTTATATAGAGAATAGGTTTATTATGTTTGATGGATTTAGAAGTTCAACTCTAGGGTTGATTGTTTCCTTTTTTCTGCACCTAAAATGAGCACACTGTGGTGAAAGTATGTGGCAAAGAATACTTGGGAGTAGGCAAATGAAACATCAAAGTGCCCGGTGTCCTGTAATGTTCTTTATAGGCAAACGTAGAGTGATCTTCAAGCCTCCCTCTAGGCTTTACTTATTAAAGGTTTGGGGGTTTTGTTTTTTTGTTTGTTTTGTTTTGTTTTCATTTTGTTTTTGTCACTTTAAGAGCAACACTCCTGGGGACCAAAGCTTTACTGTCTGGACCTGTGGGAGGGGCTGGCTGTTTTAATGAAAATGCCCTCCAGGACTTATCTATTTGAAGACTCTGTCCCCAGTTGGTAGAGATGTTTGGAACTAATTAGAAGGGATGGCCTTGTGGGAAGAAGTGTGCCACTAGCGGTAGGCATTAAGGTTTCCAAAGTCCAAGCCTTTGCCAGTTAGCTCTCTGCCTCCTGCTCTTGGGTTAAGTTGTGCCCTCTCATGCTCTAGCACCACGCCTTCCCGCGTGCCCACCTGCTTTCATGCTTCTCACCAACAGCAGTCATGAACTCACCTTCAAATAAACCTCAAATAAATGCTTTTTTCTACAAGTTGCTTCGGTCATGGTGCCTTAGGATGGCAATAGAAAGGAGGCTAACAGGAGGGACACTGAGGACACAAACTTCACTGAGCAATATTTTGTTGTTTTTCCACTGGATATGGTTTGCACTAGTCTGAGTTGTCTGTGAGAGTCGATGTTGACGATCAACTTGACGGATTTGGAATCATGTTGGGTACACGCCTCTGTGCATATGTGTGAGTGATTTTAATCTTTTCAATGGATGGAAAGATACATGCTGAATGTAGGTAGCTCCATCCACCCTATAGCTGTGGTCCCAGAGGGCATGAAAAAGAAAGATCTGAGCATCAGCATTTGACTTCCTTTACCTTCTGACTTTGGATATATTGTCTGACCATTCTTCTGCAAATTCAATTCTTTCTATGGTGAGCTGATCTTGCATGTCTATCATCTCAGAACAGTTCTTTATATGGTGAGCAAACCTTGCATGCTCACAGTATCAGCTTGGTTCCTCCATTGTTTACCTGTCTCTGACAATAGCCTCCATTAGACCCTACACCATTTGACCTCTATGGGAAGTTAGTCAAAATTGAAATTATTGTCTGACTTTATGGATGAGGAATCACAGGCCATGAAAGGGTCTGACACATAAATGCCTGAAAGAAAAGCTGGGGTTAGTTACCTCACAGAGTGTCCTGTCTAGAAAGGATACTATACTAGATGTTAAAGGTGAGAATGGTATCAGAGGATAGAGTCACCTGTGAAGAGGGTGGGTTAAAATGCTCACCCAGGTGACTTTGTGGAATAAAGAACGAGATGTGTGGTCTAGGGCCAGGAAGAGTAAGAGATGCTAGAGCCTCAGTTGAGTCCTCTCTCCCTGAGCCCTAGATGCCACATAGAACTGATGTCAATATTTCATGTTTACTAACCCTATGGACAGTACATTTTAGCATATTGTTATTTTTGTGGAATTTTATAAAGACTTGAAAGAAAGAAATGTTATTTTTGTATATATAGGGATATACAAATTTATGATATCACACACAAAACATCATTGTGAACTTCTTAAAAATAAAAGAAAAACACCAAATAAAATCTTTTAGGGGTTGGAGAGATTGCTCAATGGATAAAGCAATTACCACACGTGTGATGACCAGAGCTCCCATGAAAGCTAAACACTCATTCACGGATGTAATCTCAGAACTTGCAGCGAAGCAAGGTGCAGGAGGTTTAGCAATGATCCTTCCCCAATAATAAAAATAGACACCAGTTCAGAAAGGTGCTTGGCATCAGTTTCAGAATTTTACACCCACTCACACAAGCATGCGTGCTCACACACCAGCATGATCCCATAAGCATGCACATGGGGAACAAACACATACAAAATAAAAATATGTCTCAAGACAACAAAATGAAGAGAAAAATGTTGCTAAACAGGACATTCCAAGAGGATAGAGCCATGACAGATCCTAAAAGTCTCTGTGCCTCCCTCTAAAGAAATGTGCCTATTTTCACAATGCCATGAGGAAAGTGTCGTAGCTTCTATCTAGGGATAATATCATTGTGCGTTATCACAAAAAAAAAAAGAGGCTATTTCACTTTCACAGAAGCTGGAACAATAAAATAGAGTCTATGCATTCAAAGTGCCAGCTAAGAAAGGGGGTGGGAGAGAGAGAGAGAGAGAGAGAGAGAGAGAGAGAAATGAGTTCAGCCACACTGCTGAACCTGACCAAAGTTGTGAATGATCTAAACTCAACATATCTTATATGGACAAATAAGGTTTCCATTCTGCAGCGTCTTATGTGTGTTTTTGTCCCTCCCACCAGCCCCGTCCTTGGTAAATTCTCCATATCACATTGTGGTGCACTACAGTATGTTGCCAACATTCACAAATACCCCAGTATCTTTGATGAAGTTGTAAAGAAGAGAAAAGTAAACCCACACATTTAGCTTTGAGATCCATATTTTCAGTGTGTTTTGCTAACACCTGAGCCTTTGATTGACACTGATATGTGTGTGTATGTCTATGTGTGTATATATGTGGTATTCTAGGCATCCACCTCTGTGTGAATGGCATTGCCCTCAATTGTTTCTCTACCTTATTTCTTAAGAAGTCTCCACAGAGGAAGACAAAGAAGCCAGTCCTGATGAGACCTGATAGACTGTGATCAGATGGAAGGGGAGGTGGACCTACCCCATCATTGGACTGGGGGGAGTACATAGAATAAG